TCGTACGTGTGCGCAACTACTCTATCTCGGATCTTAATTATTTTCTAATTACATTCTTCTGCTTTAGTATGCATAATACGATCATGTTAAGAAAATAGGCTTGACAATCAATGCATGTTAGGGAGATTTGCACCGATGGTCCCCGCATTCACCTTTTAGTTTCCATGATTGATTCATATATAAATATATATATGAACAAATGTTGGACCTGAGTAGATTCTTAAAAGGCTAAATCTCCTAAGATCTCTCATGTAAAGTCCAAAGGAGATACTCCCTCTCTCCCAAGAGGAAAAATAATGGGAGGGAACAGGGGGGGCTCTGGGTTGTTTGGCTGCCGGGACGTAAAACAAGGCATGTATGCCTTCGGTTAACTTTAATAGGGTTGGTTGGAGGCGCTCCAAAGTTGCAATGATCCCTAGGGTGAAATAATACTCTGTCTTGAATCTTGATTATTTATAATTACATTCTTATGTTTAGTATGCATAATACGATCATCATGTTAAGAAAATAGGTTTGGCGATCAATGCATGTTAGGGAGATTTGCACCAATGGTCCCCTGATTCACCTTTTAGTTTCCATGATCGATCCATATACATATATATGATGTACAAATGCATGTTAATACCTGTATCTCTGTTTAATGAAAACTAGCTTTCTTTGTCAATCAAGTACAGTTTGACTCAGCAAAATGTAGTGAAATTTTTGGGTTGAGTACTTCAACTGGGGGTCGATAGGAATGTTGCAGCGATCGTTGGTAACGGAACTCTTGGTCTCCGATCTCTCGTCGTAACGTCAATCTCGTTCCACTTGCGCAATTTTCGACAGATAAATACAAAAACCAAACATCTCGAGGCACAAGTACAGCAAAGCTGGCAAAATTCATCTGCTATCAAGAAAAAAGCATTCTAAAACCGAAGCTAAGCGAAAGTCTTCGGTTATGAACTCCCAAAGCGAAACGTTGTTCGATACAAGAGGACACGGGACACACTGCCCCACGTGTTTAAGTGTACAAGGAGTGACATTATGTGAACTTACACGACTGTTCTTATTCATTTGTTTATTTAGTTTTTTGGGGATCTTCTTTTCTTTTTCATGGGGAACGACACAAAGTCAGTGTTTGACTCCCTTGCTTTACGGGGCTCGTGCATGAGTCGGCTACAATTCATTTGTTTTTGCGAAATGTGATCGTGGCCTTGGACTTGCTCTCACGTCTTATCGAGAGTGTGATTTCAAAATGCTAATTCAAACAGCCATTATCTCTCTCTCTCTCTCTCTCTCTCTCTCTCTCTCTCTCTCTCTCTCTCTCTCTCTCTCGAGTCAAAAGGTTCCACCTCCAGCTCTTAACGGGGTCTGATTTGTGGGCTTGACGAGCAGTTTCGTGCAGAGCTAGAGATTGCTCGCACTCTGGAAATAGCGAGTAGTTTAACTAATCTGACATCCATATAGTACAAGTGGGTTTATTGATTCCTTAGCTTAGTCTATGGCATCGTTTGACAACGGCCATTGGCAACATCAAGCCTTGAACTGTGATTCTTTCGAGTGTTATTGTATAGGGTCTGTATTATTACCATTGGAAGCAGTATCTTATTTACCTTTTTTCTTCAAATCTGTGTGCGCTTTACCTTTCTTATGACCAACAAACATAAAATTTTCACAGAGCATATGTATCCGATCCTTTCCGTAGGCCAAATCTGATTAACAAGGTATCGCCCTAAGTCGCTGTCCTCCGCTTTCCGGGAGCGTGCTATCCCGGCACTCTCCGTTGGACTAATCGTATCTATTCTAATCATTATACACATTTATTTTTTTATGGAAATTTGATACGCATGCGTACGTGTTTGCTCTATTAATAGTCATATGTAAAGTACCAATGCTTAATTTCTCCTTTTTATCACATGGACAATAATATATTCAAGGCCCCGAGGCACATCTTAACTAATCCTAAAAATACGGAAAAAAGGCTTATTTACTCGAACTTTTCCAAAAGTTGACATATTTTGAAAGGCTACATTCACTTTAGTATATTTTTTTCACATTTATTCCTTAATTTAATATGATCTCATCTTTCTCTTTTCTTAAGAATATGTTTGGTTTGTGAAAAGAGTTCCGAAATGCGATCAAACACATTTTTCAAGAATGGTTTTCATTTTTTAGTAGGATCAGATCAAGCCGTTACTTGACTCTCAATTTTAAAATCCTTTTGCATTCTCCAGTGTGCAGCACACCGTGTGCTATGACCATCAGTCTTCTTTCAATTTTGATTTTAGGCTTCCCTTATTTTGCGAAAAATATTTTTCGGGAAGTCATTTTCAAGAAATTAACATTATTTTCTGGTATTTTGCTGAGACCTGAAAATGAACTGGAAAATATTTTCTGTTATTTAGTAAAGAAAATCTCATTTGATTTTCCTAAATAGGCATATACTATTTGGGGGCTAGTGACTTGCCCATGGGTAGCCAAGGAATCTAGCATGGGCACCGGGGTCTCAAGCTCGGATCCCCAACTCCCAAGCACAAACACTAGCACTGGTCTTGGATCCACCGTAACCGAGTCCGAGAATTTGGTGCCCATACTCGACTCCCTGGCGCCCTGGTCCCAATCTATAGGGGCTGGGTCCCAATCCCTGCCACTTAGGCCTCCGTATGATTCAGGCTTGGGATCGGGACCCCAGCACCTAGGCCTGGGTACATTGAGGTCGAGCCCCGAACTTGGCCCCTGGACTCGAGTCCATCAAGGTCGGGCCAAGGACCTTGGCACCCATGCCCGAGTCCAATGAGGCCAAGCTCTAGTCTCTAGGCTCGAGCTTGGCATCGATGGACTGGGGCGCAGACGCAAGGGACCTGGGAACGGGCACGGGAGTCTTGGGCCCAGCCTCGATGGACCTAGGCTCGGAAGTCGGGGACCCGAGCATGGGCTCGGGCCCGACCTTGATATTACCGAGCCTAGCATCTAGGGCACGGGCACCAGTGTCCCGAGCCTGCCTCGATGGACCCGAGCACATCAACCAGGGTCTCGAGTGCAGCCTAGATGGACTTGAGTAGGGCATCGGGGTCATGCTCCCTGGTGCTGGGGACCCAACCACACTACTAAGGGCTTGGGAACGGGTGTTGGGGTTTCCATGCCTAAGCGCGGAGTTTCTGGTTCAAGTGCTGATACCTAGTCATATTTTGAAAAATTAATTTTTGATTTTTTAAAGAGGAAATCATTTTCCTAAATTTAAGTTTTGGCAAGAAAACCTTTTAAGTTGATTCATTTGCTAAGCGATCAAAACGCCGGAAAGTGAGGAAAATGTTTTCCCGCAAAATATGTTTTTCACCAAATAAACAGAGCCTTAATCTATTCTTCTTTCTCCTTCAAGATGGGTGCCTTCTGAATGATGTCCTCAACCGTCTTCATCCCTACTAATTGGGCATAATTCCCTAAAAATTGATCTAGTCCAAATTCTGCCCCAAACTTTTTTGTCTTAAAAAAAATCTAAAACTTTAAGTCCAGACTCAAATATGCTCCGAACTTTTTTTTCCTAAAAAAAAATTCCAAACTTTAGGTCTAGTCCCGAATTTTGTTTTGTCTAAAAAATGCCAACTTGCAATCTATTCTCAAATTCACCCCGTGATTCAGTCCCAACTTGATGTGGCATTTCCACATCGATAACAAATTCACATTAGCAATGTCGACGTGGAAAGTTATTTTTAAAATGAAACCGTTCTAAGATATGAAAATTAGGGACAACTAACGTCAATTTTTGGACAGAAGGCTGATGGAGGCATATTTGGGAGTAAAGTAAAAATTGGTGATTTTTCTCTTAGATAAAAGAAAAGTTCGGGATAAATTTGAGACTGAACCTAAAGTTAAGGATTTGTTTTTGGACAGAAAAGTTTGGGGCTGATTTGAACCGGACCTAAAATTTAGGCCTTACTAATTGACATCCCCTACTGTTTCGGGCCTGGTTAATCCGATCAAGCCCGGCTAGCTTCGAGCATCAAAGAACAACCCGACATTTGATGATAAATAATTCTTAAAATGTCATAGATGGTGATTTTTTGCGATGTTTCACCATTACCAAATACATACTACGTGAAGTTCATAAAAATTTATGTAAGAAAGTCCTCCTCAACCCCCAAATTGCTTTGAAGAGCATTTAGCGAAATTTAAGAACCCAAGCGCCTCCAACGACTATCGTGCATCGATGACCCTCTAGTCACCGACGGCCCTCTTCATCAAGACATCGATGACCCTCTAGTCACAGACCCTCTAGTCACCGACAGCCCTCTTCATCAAGACATCGATGACCCTCTAGTCACCGACGGCCCTCTTCATCAAGACTCCGGCCGACGTTCCAAGCTCCAGAGAAAGACACATTATGCAAGGCAACAACCGCCAGACACGACCACCAACAGGTGATGGTTGCTTCATCAACCCAAATCTAGATCCACATCCAGAGAGATTTTGCCGGTGTTAGCCGTCTGAAAAATGTGACTTGGTCACCTGAAGGTCGTGACAACGGTGGTCACTGACATCAACGCCACTCTACTCTCCCTCCTTCAGCCCTCTCATTCTTTAGTTTCCCTTCATGATTTCAATCTTCTTTGGTAAAAAAAGATCATAATTTCGTTAGCACTAACCCAGACCATCCATGCTTGATACACAGTTAATTTCACCTATGATCAGGATCTAATCCCAATTCAAGGGAACATCACAAATGCCGGCCAGGATCCATCTCCCTGCTCACCAAAAACAGCCAGAGTCATTGAAAAGCCGATCAAACAGATTGGAACGACCCCAAATTAATGAAGACATCTGCTTCAGGTCACTAGCTTCAGATACGCCATCTTGGAAATACCTATGAGGGAGCAACTCTCTTCTCAATAATACTAGAAACAATTGGACAGTTCAGCTGCAATTAAACCTAGTATCGAGAGCCTACTTTAACAATAGTCGCAGTAGTCACTACGGAGTACATCAGAGCGCAACAGGGCAGGGCATATAAACGTTTATCATGGTTTTCAAGATAAATTCTCATAACAAGCAATTTAAGACTATTTCAAGGAGGACAAACTTCAAACTCTCCCTGTTTAAGTGCAGTGATAGAGGACACGGATCACACACTTTCGTTCATAAACACAATTGGGAAGAGAAACGACCCAGGGAAAGAAGCCCTCCTACACGTCACACAAACATGCAGCTTTTCTAGCCCATGGCATACTTCTGGGTCCAGCTTCTGGCGGTGGTTTCATACTTGTTCCGATCAGTTTTGTACATGTGCGCAATTTCCGGCACCAAAGGGTCATCGGGGTTTGGATCGGTCAACAATGAACAGATTGAAAGCAACACCTATACAATAAGACCAAACACAATTAATTCCATGCCGAAAAACCATAAGAAGTATCCGCAGCAGAGCAAGTGAACATTGGTTCTTGGCAAACAATGAACAGATATCTTTTCTTTTCAAAGCCAAGGTTCAACCTTTTAATAAGCATTTTGACGACAACAAGAGCAAATCGTATGGCAGTAACACAAGTTTTTCTGAATCACACTATTTCCGAGCAAAGATGAGCTGACATACTCAAGGAGTGGTCTGTGAGGACTATTTGAGAAACTACTGATAAGAATGAGGCCAAAAAGAGCTAGAAGGCAAAAGTTAACCCTACTGGATTTAAGGACAAAGGAGAGTGCAGTAGTCCCCGCTATAGGTAGGCAACAATCTACGCTCGCTGACATCACAAATGAATTTAATGTCATGCTTGACTTGTAAACATATCACGAAAACTTCACTTTTTTTTTCTCCCATACAAAACAGTTCGATTGCAAGCCACCAAGAGGGCCAATTACATGTATACAAAGATCTCAAAAACCAAAAAAAGAGCTCATTCACAAGACAACGAATCTTCAGCATGAATCAAAGCATTAACATGCAGGAGATTTTCGTATTAGATTTGGAAGTTTAACTTTGAAACAACTATTCTGTAATCGCAAAAACAGAAGATTCTATCGCTAGCATTGCTCATTCGTCCTACCACTTAAATAGATTAATCAGATTCAAGCATCAAATGCTATGAACATACCACCTCACATTCCAGTAGAAGAATGAGATTTCTCTGCCGGATGCAAGAATTCAATAAAACAGACATAAAGATGTGACACTTCATCTACCACACAGGACAAGTGATTTGCACCAAAGAACACATCACTCTTTCCAGATAGCAAATAAAGCTTTAGAGTCCAACAAAATTCAACCTTGGAAATAGTCAGGGCAGGGCTCCACTGCTCCTTCAATATGTCAAGGCAAATGCTACCGTTGCTATTGATGTTAGGGTGGAAGACTTTCGTCCTGAATGCAACCTGCACACACCATCAACAATTATAAGCAAACTCTACAGCCAAGGAGAGCACAGGAAATGGAACGAATTTTTCAGCTATATCTTCTATTTTGAAGAGACGGTCTTAGGTACCGGTGCCCATGGTAAGCCAAGAAACATGAAGCCCACTCCCCCAAGAAACAACACACGCCCTCCCATCCGACTTTAGGGTGGGAAAATTTAATGTTATGTCAAAGGTTCACCAGTAATTCCCGAAAACGATGCCTACCAAACACAATCAACTTAAGTTCTACCAAATACAACATAGCCACAGAACAAGGAAGGAGACAAAAATACAAGGAGACAATTGGTGATATGAAGCTGTGGTCAATAAATAACCATAAACAGAGATTAACAGTGAGACTTAATCATCTTTACCCAAAAAAAACAGTGAGACACTTAATCATGCGATGCCCAGAAGAACACAAGAAAATAGTAAAACTGAAATAGAAGTTATGGGTAGTGATGGAGCTCTTCTATGATTTAAGAAAGGCCAAAATCAGTTCTACCTGAATTTGACCTCTTATAGGACCGTTTTACTTGTCAGCAGGAAAAATGTAACATGTTAGATATTTAAGGCTCACAAAAGCAAATTTAAAAAAGTTGAGAAGCTGGTAAGTCTGAGCCTCTGAGGAAGTGATGGGACATGTTTAGGTTTTCCAAATGTAGGCTACTGTATAGAACTTTAAACAGAGGGATTTCAGAGTAATTCACTGTAAATACGCAGTTTATTTCCAAGGCAATATTAAGGTCATGTTAAGCAAGGAGACCAAAGAATAAACTATTCAGGAAAAAAAAAAAAGAACTCAAAGTCTACAGCTCATAAACTTCTTCTGAATGTCGATAACTTAGAGATCGTGTCTTCGGTTTCCGGTGTATGTAGCCCATTCCCGGCCTTCCAGTCTTCCTCACCTTCTGCTTTCAGACTTCGACACTATAAACTAACTCCTTACCTTCTTGCCTTACTAACTATAGTGCTAGCTGCACCAACTGAATGAACCAATTGCTTTTAAAATGACTTTGCCATTCATTATTAAAGGAATCCAAAGGTAACTCTGCGACCTTCACAGGGTGGACAGGAAGAGACCGATCCTCATTGCTGTTGATCTCGCAAGGATTGAAGGTCTTAGGTAGAAAGAATTCCCTAAACAGAGTCATTCATATTCACACCAAATCTTAACATTAGCGTAAACAAAAGCTGCAAAACTTCACATGAAAAATGTCTGATTCAGAAAAGCCTCGACATATTAGGATATGTAGACTCGGACTGTAGCAATATCTTACTTATCACTCATACATCCCACCTTTGCAGAAGTAAAAACACTGTAAAGATATAAAAGCCCCCTACAGTGTCACTCCCCCAGAAAATGAGACAACAAACAAGTCAGATCAAACATCAACCAGATAATTCCAAGAACATGGAAGCCAATAGAGAAGAAGTGTTTGCAAAAGCTCACACAAATATGCAGATTTATTTGAGCAACTATTAAGCCCATGATAACAAATGGAAAAGGAACATAGCAGCAATTGCAATATGCAAAATCTTTTGATACAATGATCACAGTGATTGTTACTACCTTCGGTGGTTTAAATGGATAGTCTGGTGGGAAATGAATTGTGACTAGAAACACACCACCAGCATATGGACTGTCTGGTGGACCCATAATTGTTGCTTGCCAATGGAACATGTCTTCTGCGACAGGACCTGAAGATAATGAACCAGTTCACATTAATCTAAAATTGATATGATATACCAATAACACGATATATTCCATGAATAATACGACACTAAAGTACATCATAGACTGATCAAAAGTATAGCGTGACAGCACCATAGCCAAAGATCACAACTGCCAAAGGATAACGTAGGCAAAATACAGTCGGAAGTAGAAACTAAAAAGTAAAGGTACACCAGACAGAAGAATCTATAGTTATATAGAAAAATCCAGTAATAGTAAACACTTTGAAGATGGAAGTAGCTCTCAGCTTGGTTTCATCAGAAAAAGAAACACAGCAACACAAAAAGGAAAACATTTAAATCCCAGATAAAGCAAGAGACAAGATGTCACCTCGGGTTCGCAATTTAAATCTCCTAGTTCAACACGGCAATAACTGAAAAGGCAGAATTATAGATAAATAGGAGAGAACAAAATATTTGCAGCACATAGGCTTCCATGGATCAAAAGTAAGGCTGAATATGTCGTGTCGATGTTTTTATAAGAAGAAAATCCCCCGTGTAAAGCACTTAGGTATCAAAGTAAGAACATTCCATACATAAGGCTGGCCCAATCCATGACAACACCTCATGAAATATTCACGCCGGGTTACATCACTACGAGCCTTCAACTGGGTAAAGACATCTATGTATTTGCAGAGCACCCATCAGTTACCTCCATTAATCAGACCCAGAAACATCCGAGCATCACAAAACGTCACAATCACCTCATGTTTACATGCATGGTCGGTGGAAACACTGTAGCAACCCAGAAAAAATCACACTTTCCCACATTCCCACGAGGCAAAGACAATTCAACCCTCGAGACCGAGCAAAACAGGCCCGTTGGAGCTCAATTCGCCAGCTCAGACAACGGAATCTCAGCCAAAAGCGAGAGGAACCCATGAACATGCAACAGGGAATCAAAGCGAGCCAAAGCAATTCCACAACAACAAGCTTAGATCTCCCCTCCCGGAAATACCCACAGGGACACACGAATCGCTACCGCCGCAACGCATCGACCCAAGAAACCGGCCGGAAATCGAGCCATCAGATCACCCCAAAGAACGAGGCACACAAACCAGACAACAAGCAAGCGAGATCTGGAACGAGGGGAGGGGAGGGAGGGGAGGGGGGGTGGAGGGAGTTACCAGCGCTGCAGGACGTAGGAGGATCCTTCTGGAGATCCTTGAGCTCCTTCAAGATCCGCTTCGAAGCCATCGCGTCTCGACTCAGACCCTAACAGATCTCCCCAGAGCAAAAGCACAGTGACAACAGCAGAAAAAGACAAGAACCCACCTCCTCAATATCGGCGAGCAAAATCAACACCAACCCGGAAACGAAGCGACCTCCCAGATACCCAGAGAGCGAAAGAGCGAGGTAGAGAGAGAAAGACGGTACCTTGAGATCCTCCCCGGTTTATTATTTGGGTCTGCGTTGCGTCTGCGCGACAGAGAGAGAGAAGGAGAAGGAGAAGGAGGAGGAGAGGAAACGGAGTGGGTTGAAGAAAAGACTTTTATTGTGGCGTTGTTGCTCTTTCGGTGATTACGACGTCCCTGACCTCTGATCAAGCGGTCCCCGCACCCCAACACCCCCCACTTTGGCACCTTTTTTTGGGGGTTTTCTTGCCATTTTGCTTTCTTAATTAAGCACTTATGATTCAAGTAACTAAAAACATTGCTAGTTTTATTTACCATAAATGCGTTTGATTCAGCTTTCTCAAGGACCTTTCAGTCTTTAAAACCTCTTAGAGAAATGCTAAGATGTTTGGCAAGCCTTCCCAAGAGGCTTTCGGCCAAATACGGACCTGGGAAAACTGAAAACCCTGACCATCATCGAGCTTTCAGCATTTGGCTGAGTACTGAAAATTAGTTTTTTTCTTCCCAAATTACCCTCGTCAATTCTCTAGTTTTTCGATTCTGCCCGCATAGTTGTGACCGTTCATCTTTTTTGTGCGAGGGCGGCCAACAAGGCTAAATCGGACCGGCGAAGTCACATGACCAAAGCAACTGTCACTTGAGGTCGTACAACCTCAGGCAATGATCGCTGGCGGCCTTAGCCCTTCGCCGGAGCTTGCGAAGGGTTTGATTTTTTTTAATTGAAAAAAGAAAAATTAAACCCAAAAGCCATTTGCAAAAAAAAAAAATTTGCTAAACATTACTTAGGCTAAAGTAGCTTTACTAATGATTTTTTTATCAAATGTCATTTGCATTTCTCCGAGAGGCTTTAGGTTAAAAGCATTTACTAAAACTGCTTCTCTACTCTTCCGCACTCGACTTATAGGGAAAATAGTACTTTTGGAGTTGCAACAGGGAGAATAATCATGAAATTGTAAAATATCATTTGATAATTATACATACCATTTAGAATATAATTGAGTATTGCGGGTTCATTTGCCTTTCTTATAACTTCACGTTACACTTATCAAACATCACGTATGTCATACTTTACGAAATTGAATTTATCGACTAATTCTTTATATTTGACTCGATTGTTTGGTAATTCTTTTTGAGTAATTACCGTCCTTTAAGTAACTTTAACTCTGATGTTGTATTTTAAGAAAAGTTGTATTGGATGGGATCGAAGCAATTTCTCTCATGGTGTATATTTTGCAAGAGTGAAGGCCAATTTTTCTCTCCATATTATTATATAGATATAGAGTAAATTTTTTCTATAAATATATCACATCGCATATCATGTGTAATAGAGTCAATTTTACATGAAATTATAGATATAATTACTTTCTTGTTCTTGTTAACATCAATTTCATGTCCTTTTGGCACCGCAGTACCAATGTCTAATTTTTAATCATGTTGAAAATATCTCACATTACTAATAATAGGATTTACATACTCTTTATATACATATGACCTTCCTCGATCTATTAGTCAAAACTTTTAAATTCGATAGTCGAGTGATCCATTTTAGCGGACCAGTGGATGAAACGTGCTGATAGTTCCTTTTTGTATGCCTCCTGCCAAATAGAAGCGGGGCATCAGATACACAACCTGTGCATGCGTTACTCCTTCATTAGCTCCATTATGCACACTGAAGCCTCCTCTATAAACATTAGATAGAACGATGACAAGCAGATTGCCAATTGGCTCAGCAACAAACAACTTTCATACCAAAACGTGAAATTGAATTCAGATTAACAAGCATTGAGAACTCCATGCTGTAGACTCAATCCATGCATTTGTATTGCTAGAAGTGGGAGAATTTGATCCGACTAAGTAAATCTTTATCTGAGAGAGAGGGAGAGAGAGGGTACACAATCTTCCGCAGGCATCAAGAACATTAACTATGAAACAAGTATAAACTCAACTATGGCGGCTGACCTAGACACCAAGCTAATGAAGCCAGCAAAACAAGAAACCAAACTATAGCGCCTGAAGGGAAAAAGGGCAAAAAAAAGAAAAAAGAAAGGATCGACTCAAAGTCCTATAATGAGGATGACGACTCCGTGCCAACCGCCGGTTGTGGCGGCGACAAAGTCCCAGATTTGTTCTCTGGGGCGTGGCTGCTGCTCCTGACATCTTCAATCAATTTCACTAGATCAGGCATTTTAGGCCTCTGATCGGGCAACCTCGCCACGCACGACATCGCTATCTGCAGCATCTCCACCATTTCTTCTTCGATGTTCGGGTACCTCATTAGCTCTATGTCGAAGACTTCGGCCGTCCACTCCTCTCGCACGACTGAGTGGACCCACCTCACCAAGTGCATGATCTCGTCCCCACCACCACCACCACCAGTAGTTCCGTGGATTGGGGACTTTCCAGTTAAGAGCTCGAGTAGCACCACACCAAAGCTGTACACATCCGCAGGTTGTGTGGCTTTTCGGGTGTCTGTGACCTCCGGAGCACGGTAACCAGTGGCACGAGAGACAGGTGTAGCCAGCCCGCTCATTACAGTGGCCAGTCCAAGGTCGGAGATGCAACCGTATCGTTCAGCATTGAGAAAGATATTCGAGGATTTGATGTTGCCGTGAACAAGCTTCCCGTTGTTCTGAAGGTGGATATGAGAGAGCCCTCTTGCTGCGCCAATGGCAATTCTCATGCGGGTGTCCCAATCCAGAGGATTCCTACCTTCCCCTCGTTTACCTGTGAGAGAAGCGCAGGTCAAGCCATCAAGCAATTTACAAATACGGAACTCGTCTGATAAAACAGAGGCCATCAATTTGAACATAGATAGTACAACTGGAAATATCTGAACGGAAGCATGTAAAGAGGCTTAAAATCCACTTTACAGCATTGATATAGCTTGAATTATTAGATTTTTCTGCTTTAATTTATTTGAGTTGACGATGTTCAGTTTATAGCACAATATATGAATGCATTTGACGGTTTTCTAAATGGAGTTCATTTAAATTTGTGGAGCGACAAAAGGTAGTGCCAAATGACCATTCAGTCTCCAGCATTGTCCGTTATCATGAGTGTTTCAGGGTAATTGAGAAGAAAACAGACCGGATCACATCATCCATATATTCCTGATGAATGCAGAAGCGTAAACATGTCACAAGAACAACTGGCGATAACAATTTACAAACGAAGAGACAAAACCAATATTCAAATATATCTGCAATATAAAGACATGGCATATGCTGCATATACTCTGTTAATGCTACATTTTCTCAAAAACTGACGATGAACTGCTCCCTTCAGAAGTGGCTACTCGGCTGGAAACACGTTAACAATTAGGAACAACAAGATCGATTCACTTGCAAGAAGACACATGCATCACATCACCAAAAAGACAAAATTCCTTTGCGAATACGCTTGGAGAAGTATTTGAATGATTCACTAGGTATCGTCGGCATCTAGCACGTCTTTCTTTATGAGGGGTTTTTCTTAAGACTCTAAGATTGCTCAGTTATGCATCAATCATGACAACCAAATTTCCAGATATTTCATCCTTCCCAACACATGAAACAACATGATTTGCGGAACATAACAAAACCACAAAGTTAATAAGATGGTTAGAGATAATTGGCGGGAGGATCCAAAGTAAAGGCTCTAAAGCCAAGCATGACCAAGCACGTGGCATAGATACCAACTTGATGAAAACCCAACTGAAACATTTTCCATTAACTTTGGAAATGAATAGATGTGCCGTCTGATGCCTGAGAACACATGTATATGACAGAGAAAATTGGTTTAAGTCAATCGGTATCACATATTAATCATTACAATCTGGCACTATCATGAGTTTGTCGGTCAAAGTCAGTTAACCCATTGGTAGAAATTTTGAAGCACTTATAAGCCAGAAGCTCAGAAAACATGCACAGTATATTGGCGTTTTGAGCATTGAAAAATCTAATGCAATTTTAAAGCCCTTGACCTGACCCTCCTTCAATAAGGACAAATATTAGTGGAAGCATATAGAAAAGTGAATGGTGAAGAGGTTTTAGAGTTTAGACCAAGATCCATGTGATCAAATACCAAATTTTGGATCTGTCCAGCCAAGGCCAATCCCTAGGTTAACTTCAAAAACCTATTTCTCCTTATCCAATCGCAATACGTCCCGGAATTCGGGAACTATTCTCCTCTATCAATTCCTAAGTTTTTGACATTCTAGCCAGCTTTAGTTTATCCATCAATATCAATTCAAGTGGTTTCCCAGTACAGCATAGCTCCAGCTTTGCCAACCAATACCGTTCTCAACAATCTGCCAGTCCTACAATAATGCTCACGATACTGATGGGCCCATTCAAATGGAACCCATCTGATACTTACACATGCAGTCACACTTAAAACCTATAATAACACTAAACCCACATTATCTCGATAACATAAGTGCACTTGTGCTGTTTTAACATGTATAGAATTGCTTTCTAAGATGGAGCCTCAATCACTAGCACTTCCTTCAGTACTTGAGGGCAAATAAATGCTGAATTTCAGTAATGACGAGCACATGACTCGGGCAAATTGAGCTTACCATGCAGCTTAGCAGAGACGCTCCCTTGATGGTAGTAATCATGCACAATTAACTTCTCTTCTTTGGAGTAGTAATAAGCTTTCAAGTCCACCACATTCTCGTGCCTGATTCTGCCAACAATCTCCATGTGCTGCTCAAAATCCCGCTTCCCAACTGCAACCTCCTTCAACCTCTTCACAACCACGGTGGTTGCATCTTCCAAGGTCGCCTTATAAGCCGTGCCGAATGTCCCCTTACCCAGCACCTCAGCTGAAGCCCTCAACAAGTCCTCCAAATCAAACGCATAGCTACAACCCTCAAAGAACACCAATTTGTTATTCGCTTCTTGATTCCTCGAAACCTCTTTATCCGGCGACATCTCTGCCTTTGGTAACTTCCCCGAGGAACGATCCTCAGTTGCTCTTCTTCTTCCTTTCGAGCAGTGAAATAGCATCACGACACCAAATGCCAATATAACCAACACACAACCAGCAATAACAATGCCTAACAACGCACCCTCACTAAGCTTCCCACCATTTCTGGTTCTTGGCTCAGAAGAAGGTGAGACGGCCGGAGGGAGCTCAGAAGTAGAATTTTGCAATGAAACACTGTTGCCATCAAAAGCTGAACTCGGAAAATGCTCAAGTGACTTAGGAACACTCCCACTCAAATTATTGCGGGACAAATTTAGGAACTTCAAATTGGGCAACTGAAAATCAGGAATTTCACCGGAGAGCAAATTACTTGCAAGATTCAAACCCTCCAGCTGAGTCAAGTTGGATATTGAACTGGGGATACTCCCATTGAACCCATTGTGGGACAAATTAACAATCGTCAAGTTCTTCCACACCGAGAAATCCTCCGGTAACGGCCCGGAGAAATTATTGAACTGAAGATAGAGAAAGGACAAGTTCTTCAAATTCGCGAAATCCGGAGGGAAGTTACCGCTAATGCCATTAGATCTGAGGCTGAGAATCTGTAACGCCGATAGGCGGCCGAGGGTGTTTGGTGGGATCGGGCCCTCGAAGCCGACGCCGGGCAATCGGACGCCCACGATTCGAGAACTGTCGCCGCTGCAGGTGACTCCTACCCAGTGGTTGCATACAGGGGAGTCCCCAGTCCAGTTGAGGAAACGAGAGTGAGGCAGATTGTTGACGAAGTCGAGCAGAGCTTGCTTATCATCAACTGGGTCAGCATTTGCTCGCAATGTAGCTAGACCCAGATAAAAAATCGAAGCCAAAATGCCCAAAGCTTGCATTTTTGCTCTTCTGCTAAAGAGGAACCAATAAAAACCCAGACTTCAATCCCAAAAACGAACGGTTTCTGCAACTTCTGCTTCTCTTGCACTCACACCAGCCTCAAGAACGGAAGAAACTGTCGAAACGCGTTTATAGAGAGTATACCAAGAACGTGAGACTGAGACTGAGGAAGAGAGAGAAAAGAGAGGGAATTACGAGACCATTGTCTTCGGATAAAGCATGGTCGAGTCGGGGACTTTGGAAACAGTTCGGGCACATGAAAAAGAAGGTGGGCAAGTAGGGTGCTTTGAGATAATGCGCTACCGTCAAATGACATTTTTGAATCTTCAATTAAAGCAGAGCTGGCTTGGAGCTTCTTTTTGTTTGTTGGCGCTTTAGCTTTTTGTATGGAAATGGTTAAAGAAAGAACTCTGAGAATGCACCAGCTAAGGACGAGCCAAAGAAGCTTAGCTAATAGTGCCTAGAGACCCGAGCGCCCCAGAAAGTAAACGTAGAAGTCACAGCTAAAACAGTCGAAACCTAACCACATGCATTGCAGTGTGAATGAACAGTCATGTTGATGTTTCCTTTGCACATTATTACATGATGTGTGGCGGGGGATGGGACGAGTCATGGGTTACCTTCAAGCTTTAAACGGCGTGTCCAAAGTTGTCTGACCAGCCCATTGCAGCTTTGAAGGAGAAGGCAGTGCTGTTAATCCTTCTTGATGCGGCGAGAATGGCCGTGAGAGAGAGAGAGAGAGAGAGAGAGAGACAGGAGCTTCCTTTCGATTTGGTCAGTTAGAGAGAGACGGGAGCTTCAGTGCAGTGCAGTGGGGTTCGTGGCGCAGAGGGTCTTCAGAGAGTGGGAGAGACGCAGAGGAGAGTGACAACGGCTTCATTTCATTTCTTTATTGCTAGTGTAATTACTGATGAACAATTATACATATTTTAATAAGGGTTCCTAAAACGGGTCTTGTGTACGGGTTACTTCTCGAAATATTCGATTTTTCGAACACTGATCCCGCATGTCGTGAGAAGGGCCGGCGTGCTTTTTCGATCACAACCCGATTCATCTCCGTTCGTGCACAGCTCGTTCGAACTCAGTTCACCGGAGATGCGATTCGGATGGTGCCCAATTTCACCATTCGTCTCCATCGAACCGAAGAAGCTCTACATCCATCCCAAGTTCCCAACTCACTCGGGACCGATTTCAATGCGAAGCACGTTCCTCGCTGGTCCTAACGTTCCGTTACACGCAGGAAGGACGGGGGGGGAGAAAACGACCGAGAGGGACGTGGTCGAGGAGCGGGGCTTGCGCGGGGGTTCCGGTGACGTTACGACACGGGAATAACGGTGACCGAGGCGCGCGTCCGGAGGGAAGCCGCCGACGAGCGCGTGGGGGGGGACGCGAGGGTGGGTTAGTTATGACAGCGCCGAAAATGCAGACAAAATTTGGTCTGTGGGTGGAAAGTGGGATCTGATCTGCTGTTAATTGGGCCTCGGAAGGTGTCGGGCCTAATTGTCGAGATCTCCGAAATCTTTTGGATTGGCTCAGATAAGTCCTTATGTGATTGTATCCATCATTTTTTTTTTTTGGGGGGTTGTTTAATATCATTAAAAAAACTTCAAACTTGTACGCTTCCAAAAAATTAATTCTAAATTAATTTTTTGATCATAAAAAACTCTAAACTGATATATTTATGATAATTTTACCCCAGATTAATATTTTGACCACCAGAAATCCCAAACTGGTATATCTGTGACAAATTTACTCTTCGTTAAATTTGATTAATACCACGAAAAACATAATCTGATACACATGTGACAAACGGAGAGTAAAACCTCCAACTAGTATACCTGTCAACTACCACGTGTCATCCAACTACAAAAATTGACGGTCAAATTTAACAGAAATTAAGGGAGGGTAAAATTGTCACGGGTGTGTCGGCTTTGGGTTTTTTGTGATCAAAAAATTATTTTTGACTGAATTTATTACAGTTATATATCAATTTGAAATTTTTCGTGGTACTAATCTTTTTTTTTTTTTGCATCAGTGGAATTTCCAACATTTACTCGGGAAAATCTAATTTAAGTGATATCTGAGGCTTTAATTTTTTATTTGCGTATTTTGGCATTGGAAATACAAATTTCCTTTTGCATATAAATTCGATAACGCTTGCAACTTTAGAATTTTGTACCATTTTTTTTTTAATTTGAGTTCATGATTCGCAAACGAAGCATTTAGAATATGTAAAATCGGAATTTCAATTGAACGATACATCGCAGTATATTAGGCTTTCTAATTCTTTAGGAGGTTTATCTAAAAAATATTCGTGCAGATCCTATTTCGATGGGCACTTGATGAGTTGATACGCTTAGACAGAGAAAACATGCGGTGATATTAAAGTGTCATGTCAGCAGCTGATGTGGTGTGTACTTACCTAATTAGTCCCATCCACGACTCGATATGCGGCAATTGAATTAGAATAAATATAACAGCAGAATATTTGTGACCACCTGCAAGGAATTATTAATACAAAGAAGCTTTTGGGAAAATTTAATTGCCACAACCCTGGGTTGGTTCCTTTATGTCATCGAATCATTGCATAGTTGCACAGTTGCACAGTTTCTCTTTAAGTGTCATTTGGTGATTATCTCTTAGTGAGCACGCCTCTCAAGTTTAGAGTTAGATTTAGACTTGATTATAGAAATCCCCGCGCATTCGTGTTAATATAGGATTTGGAAATCTTAATGCATGTTTACCTCTTAGGTTTCATGTAGTGGTGTTTTCTTAATAAGTCTTTCTCTTTAATTTAGAGTTAGATTTAGATTTGACTTTTTGGAGTCCACATCCAAGGCTTAATAACAAGGCCAAGTGTACTCTTTGCACAACACTTCCTTGAGCTTACTTCCTCATACTTCACTTTTACTGCATTGATTGTGGTTGTATACCTTTTCTTGATTGCAAACTCATGCATGGATGTTGTTTAGTCAGGTAGGATAATAAGATGGTCAAAGATCGTCTGCATGGTTATTTAGTTAACGAATTAATCAAATTTAAATACCAAAAGGGCACTAATTAGACAATTAGTGTAATTAAGTCACCGATTCTAAATCTCCAGTTGCACAGGTTAGTGAGATATCCTCTTGTATCTCACTTGGCTCCTAAGCAGCCCCATTAGGCAAGTGGCAACTCCTCACATAGAATCTCATTGGTTAAAATCAAATTAAAATGAATTTTTCAATGTTGCGCAAGGCACGGGTATGGAAGAACTCGTGCCGGTTAAGGATGGTTGATCCCTAACTCTAGACATGGCCACAGTTCGAAACCGGCCAGTTCCGGTTCGTGGCCATGTATGAACCGGAACCAGCTATTCCGGTTCCAGCCCGGTTCGGAACCGGCCGGTAAAAATTAAAAAAATAAATTATGAAATAAAAAAATAATGAATTATCAAATTATGAAATAATGAATTGTTCAATATAAAATGTAATCAAAATGTACATTGTAATCAAATTTTGAGAAAAAAAGAGGTGCTTCACTTATTTGCATTTTTTTTTTTTGGAACCGGAACCAGGCCCGTAGGCCACGGGTCGATTTCGAACCGCGGGCTTGGTCAACGGGCCGGTCCCGGGTTTGACCCAGGCCGAAACCGGCCCGTGGCCATGTCTACCTAACTCGACATTATCTCTAAACGCCGTCTTTTCCCTGACCCATTATGGGAGGGTCGCGACACTGACGTGGATAAAATTTAGCATCCGCATCTGACGAAGGATCATTTCAAGAGGACTAACTCTTTAATTAATGCTTAGTGCTCAATTGCTTAGAGGTGAAGTTCATTTTTATGGCAGAATTTCCAAGGGTCATCTTCTTCCGAGTGTTGGTGATGAAATCAAGTCTAATGTGGTCTCATAATATATAATCGGAAATCCCCATTTATCTAGTTTCTAATGCAATAAGCTTCATGCTATTTGGAGTCTTCTGAATGAAGTTATGGTTAAACAACTAAGGACGGCTCAGTTTTACCCAATAATGAGTTTCTTACAATTTCTATAATTTTGTTGGGTCCTCTGGATTGTAATTTATCCATAGAGTCATCTTGAATTAAGAGTCAATGTTTTTTTTTCCCAAGGAAATGTTGATCTTGTCTTGGAAAATAAAAGAGAACGGGCTTTGGAATTTGTCTAGCTACAAGGTTGTTTCAAGTTATTTAGCAAAAAAAAAAAAAAAGGTTGTTTCAAGTTGAATTTTTTATAAACCCCTCTAGGGCCTCCTCGAGTGTTTAGACTTTTTTATCAAGGAAATTTCAGACATTGATCTCTTGGATTAGATTATCTCCAAAGGTCTGTATCTCTTCGGTGGATTCTATCGAGTAGTGAGTTCTATGCCATGTATCCTAATGTCGATTCTTTAGATTGTGAGCATGTAATTTCTCGCATTCGAATTTCTTTCTCAATCTCTGACCATTTCGGTATCAAAGTCATACTTCAATATCGTCTAAATTAGCTAAATTTTACGAACACATCCACATGTATGCCCGCATATTTTATCCACATGATACCTTGGAATCTTCAAACAGTTACGTTATATGGTGTCGGAGGGACTTGAATCAGTAAATTTTTGAAAACGGAACGATTTCATTACATAAATTAAATTTTATAGGGACTTGATTGAAAAGAGCATGATAGTACAGGGACTAAAAGTAAAACTTTTTCCAAACCCAAGCCTCCCAACATCATCGCTGTCTTTCGTTCGTTCCCTAACCTCCGCCACGCTTGGGAGGTTAGACCACGTCTCGCAGTGCATGCACGCCTCCGACCGACACCGTCCGGCGAGTTCTGGGTCTATTGGCGAACTTCGAGCCGTCGCCCACCGGTCCATCCACCAAAGTTTCTCACTTCGGGCTGAAGTGACCCTTTTTTCTCTTTTCATTTTGTAAGTTCCGTCGCCTTAGTTCGAGTGTTGTTCGCCGGAATAAGTTTCTTGCTTCTTTTGGATTGGTGTTCAGTTAGAATGCTTTGCTGGAAGCTAATTGAACCTTTTCCCCACTTATCTTGTAGACCCGTCATTGGTATTTGTCCTTTTTGGTTCTGTAAATCTTGTTCCTTTAACTATGTTTCCAGTTCTTACACGAGTGTAATCCAAAATATGTGAACTTTTTGGGTTCTGAAACGAAGGTTTTTTCTGGAGACTGTAATTGGTTTGGGTAATTCTGTTTAATCATGGCGAATCATATGGGTCTGAACTGGGAGGTGGAAACATTGTTAGAAAGAACATTTTGACTTTATTGGTTGATTTGCTTTAGGGAGTTTTTGTAGGATAGTTAATGTTTCTCAGTTACATTTTTACAAAATGCTAGGATCTTCTGGGATAAGCCTCTGATTCTTAAAAACATCCTATTGGTTCTTTTTTTGTAATTGTGTGTTGTTTGCTGATCAAGAAGTAAGAACAGCTTATTGGTGTCCCGCTATTTTTTTTAAGCTTGTGCCTTCATGTTGCAGGGCTTTGACATTCTTATGAATGGCTTGGAGAGTCTTCGGAAACAAGGTAAAGTGTTCTAAATAGAATTTTTTCATGCTTCTATTAGGTGTTTTCTTTCACATTGTTGCCTTTGTGTTGTATAACCGCTTTTGTATGATGATATCTTGTTTAGTTATGTGGTCAAGGATCTCAAGCACATGTTGCACTTAATTCCGGAGATGGCCGTGTGTCTATGTTGGTGGTGGTTTGTTTTTGGTTTGGGGTGGGGGTTTTGTAGGAATGTTTACGTGCTCTTGAGTATAGACAATGTTGGTAGGAGTTTGAAGAAGCCAAATGGTTCACATTATGGGAAGTGGGAACTATATTTTATTTTTGGCCTAATATGTGA